ATTTTAACTGGTCTCATTCATTTACTTCCTATTTCGACCAAACACCAATTGGCAGACATTTTCACTAAGGCTTTACAACCATCTCAGTTCCAGCTTCTCATTGACAAGTTGGGGCTACTTGATATTCACCTTCCAACTTGAGGGGAGGGTATTACCATATCTGATATAACCATAGTTACTTGCTTTAACTATAGGTTATTTATCTAGTTCAGTTTTAGTTAGTTAGTTACTTTTCCCGCTTTCTTGTTTGACAGTAAGAGTATGCTATATATAGCAACTCTCATTTGTATTGTAGCTATCAAGATAATCGAGCCTTGTGATAATGAACAAGCTTTCTTTTTCTCTGTTCTATTTCTCTGCAACTTTCTCTGGTGTTTTCTGTTCTTTTGCTTTCTTGAGTAACACTGACCATGTTTTCACTTTGTACACAAATGAGTTGCAAAATTTTGTTATTGTAAGGATGATTACCTTTTTTTCTCTGTGGATGACAAATCCTTGACACTTTGCTGTGACGAAAAATGCCCTGAAGCACAGGTCAGAATTCCTACTTTGTTACAAAAAAATCTACATGTACTTGTTAGTCCAAACTTGAACATTACTAATACTAGAATGACTACTAAAGGGTAATTAAACTGATCTCATAACTAAGGACAGAAAAAACATGATGAAGGTCACATAATATGTAGTGGAGGAGCAAAGACAAATGAAGCCATGGGAGTGGTTTAGTGACGACAGTTTTGGTAATTTATATTAGATTATGTGTTCAATTTTCACACATATCAAAAAAGAAGAAGCAAAGGCAAATGTAATTAAGGTATTAAATTAGGCTAGCGATCAATTATCATGATCAGTTTGAAAGTGTCCTGTGATAAGGTCAAAACAAGTAATGGTTTACTAAAGCAAGTTGAGATTATTATTAACTAGGCATTAGAAGAGAATATTGAGAAATAATATAAAATAATGCATTTAGACGTATATTCTTTCTAAATGCTATTGACGTCTTGTTTTTTTTTTCACTTTCAAAACTCATTTTAATAAAATTATTGACTCCGATACATTAAATTAAAATACATGTTATTTGAAATGATTTAATTTCACATTTAAAAAAAAAAATCATTTTTTACTTTTTTTTAAATATTATTAAAATAATTTTTATATTTTTCTTAAAAATACTTTTTAGGTTTTCCTTAAATTATATATATATATATATATTATAATTTAAATTATTTTTATTAACTATTATTTAATTTAATTTAAATTTTATCTAAATATAAAATATTAATATAATGTCAAAATTACATTTAATATACATGAGTGATGTGGCTAAGGTCTTTTTCATAATTATATAGCTTATAAAATATTTGTTAATTCTTTTAATATTGCACTAGATCTTTTCAAATTTGTCTTTCTCTAGTATATTATTTTAAGAAATAAAATAAAATCATTCATATGCATTCTCTCAACAGATTAAGTCATTTGGAGAGTTAATTACGTAATAGGATATCAGAACTTTTAATCAAATGCTATAGAGTTTGATCCTTTGTTGCTTCATTCTTTTAATAAAAAAATACAAGGTAATAAAAAAAATAAAAAAATAGCCACATGCATTGTACACTTAAACTTTGAAGAGAGTTGGTTGAATGATAGATTAGGTTAAACAAATTTTTTTCAATTATTTTATATGCTTGGTACTACAAACTTAAAAAAAATCTTAGAATTGTTGTATGTATTTAAAATTTTAAACAATAAATAAATAAAAAATAGTTTTAAGAAACACAATTTTGAATTAATAAATATAATTGTTAAAAAATTTAAGCTTTGATTGAAAAAAAGGTAGAACTACATATGATTTAACATCAAAGAGGTACTTTACATGATTTTATTAAGGGAAGATATACTCTTATGTTATAAGAAAGTAATACATCAATTTTTGTATTATTTTTTATAAGTGGGTGAGTCCCACACATGATTATCTTTATAACGTGAGAGAATTTTTCTTCTATTGCATGAGATTAATAAAGCTCTTATATTAAGGGTTATAGAAGTATTATGTCACATGACCCTAGCTAATTTTCCTACAGAAACAAAAGTGAAGAGAGAGAAAATGATAGAAAAAAAGAGAAAAGAAAAATGGTGGACCCCACGTTTGCATTGTTTGTGCAGGAAAATAGTTTTGGGTTCCTGTTACATGATATTTATATTACCCTTATATTAAATATCATATGAGATATCCACTCCGGTTTGATTATAGATAATAATCAATAGTCATTACTTAATTAAAATAAACGATGTCAAACCGATCATAAGATGGAGAGGCCGAGTTTATTCATTTGCTAAGGGTGTGCATGACAATCATTCTGTTTCCTGGCACTATTTCTAAAAAGAAACAATTCTTTTATATTTCTATGCCTTGAAACAGCTTTTTTGAGAAAAAAAATGTGTTTGATAACGTTTTCTATTTTTATTCTGAGAATGAGAAATGCTTTTGATAACACAACAAATAATATAATAAAAAATAATTTTCATTAAGCATAAAATTTTCAGACCATCACTTTCCTTTTCATAAGGTGTGGTGGTGGCGGTGGTGGCGGCGACAATAATGGTGACGATGGCGTGTTGATGGTGGTAGTGGTGGCGATGGTGGTGGCATGACAACGACATAGTGGTGGTGGTGACGACAGTGGCTGTGATGATTCTGGTTGTGGTTGGTGGCGGTGGCGTGGTGATTGTAGTAGTGGTTATGGTGGTGACAGTAGTGGCTGCTGTGATAGTAGTGGTGGTTAGTGACGGTGGTGGTGGTAGTGGTGGTGACGGTGATGTGGTGATGGTAGTGGTGGTAGCGGTGGCATGGTGGTGTGTTGGTGGTAGTGGCGATTGTGGTGACAAAGGTGATGGCGTGGCAGTGACATGGTGGTGTGGTGGCGGTAGTGGCGATGGTGATGGTGTGGCGGTGGTGGTAAGATGGTGGTGGTGATGATGATGGCAATGGCTACAGCGACAATCGTTGGTGGCTGTGGTGGTTGGTGACAGTAGTGGTGATGGTGGCGGTAATGGTGGTGGCATCGTGGTGGTGATAGTGGTGGAGTAGTGGTGGTGGTAGTGGTAGTGGCGGCATGGTGGTGGTGGTGGCGACGGAAGTGACTGCAATGATGGTGGCGATGGTAGTGGTGGAGAGTGATTGAGAGAGACAAGTGTTTTTTATTTTGTACTCGGAAACAAAAAATAGAAATTTTTTTATTCTTTTTTCTGTTCTCCAGCACAAAAATTAAACCAGTTCACATATAAAACAAAAAATAAACTGATTTTATCAAACGAGTTTTCTATCTATTTCTATTCCCGAAAATAAAAAAAAATAATTCCGAAAAGATTGTCATCCACACCTTAAAAGAAATTCAATTATGTTTCACACTCTGACATTAATTTTAATGTCCTTACCTCTACATATCAAGATGGTCCCTTCAGTTACGAGGTCCCAGTGACCAACTCCCAACCGTGTAGCTAAGTTTTCTTCCCCCACCCACTTGCTATTTTGTTCATATCTTTTTTCCCCCAAAAAAAGTTTGGAGATGTTTCATTTGTTCGTTTGTATTTTGTTCAATGTTTGGCTAAGAGTTTGTTTGATTGTGTTCTAATTTTTTTTTTAAAAACTATTTTATAGAATAGTCATAGAAATAAATATTTTTTTATTTTTTATTTTGAAAATTAAAAAACAAAACACAAAATAAAAATAACTGAAATATGTTCTCCAAGTTTAATTCTAAAAACAAAATAACACTTACAATTTTTAATTTTTTTTTTACAAAATAAACCTTTATAATTTATTGAAATTTAATAATTAATTAATAAGTGTGACCCAATAAATTATAACCGTTAGATTGACAGAAATCAACGGTTAAGATTTGGTAGTAAGAAAAAAAGATAATAAGTATAACCTCCCTTTATAAAATGAGTTTATTTTTTTATACTGAAAATCAAAAAGCTATTTTTAAAAATAGTATTCAGGCGTTAATTTCCCCATTTGTCTTATGCCCATCACTCATAATCTCTTTGAATTGACATCATCTCCCGCCCCTACCCGTGCGTGGTGCAACTCACATTTATGCTAGTTTGGTTGGTTCTCCGTGGGAGAAATCCCTGATAGGGACAAGAACACACAAAACAAATACTATGTCAAAATATACTCCTTCAATATTGATGTTATCCCAAAGCATTAAATAAGGATCCATGATTTCAATGGAAAGGGCCGTTGATTTTTTATAATGAAAGTATAAGTCATCGTTTTTTAAAACGGGATTGAAAATTGAAGAAGAATTCCAACACGTGTCCTGATAAAGAAAACATACAAAAATGGTTGGTGCTTATTATTATATTTATTATATATTTTAATATTATATTTAAATCAAGTGTATTTTAAAAATAATAATAATTAAAAGTGATTCACTAATTGAATCATTGATTTATTTACCGAGTGAATGGCTGATATGAGTTTAATAACACTAACTTAACTTTATATTAAATAAATAAATAAAAAACCAACACAAGCTAAGGTTTAGTAGATAATGAAAGGATGGGAGAAATAAGAAAGAAAAGAGAACTAGTTTTAAAAAGAGAAGTGTCAAATGGTAGTTGGGTTGATGTACGAGAGCTGAGTATATATTTGATTCTTTCCAAAATATTATTATTGTTGGAGGTTTAAAACTTTAATCATAAATTTAAATTTGTCCCGAACTTCTAATTAGTCCATATTAATTATTTGAAGTCATTTGTTTAACCAATCCAATGATGAGTTCCTTATTTATGTTTGAATTTCATTCTCTTCCCCCTTATTAATTATTTGAAGTCATTTGTTTTACCCAAAATTACATGAATACCATAAAACCCAAATTCTTTTGGGCCGAAACCAGGTCCAATGTTTAGGAAGCTCCATGACAATCAAAAAAGAAAAAGAAAAAGAAAAAGGAGAAAAGAAGGAAAAAGCTCCATAAACCCCGTGTGCCCTTAAACCTCTTAGTCACAGCAACCATGGTGAAGGCCTACCTCCGATACGAACCGGCGTCGTCGTTCGGAGTGATAGCGTCGGTGGAATCGAACATTGCATACGACAGCTCCGGCAAGCACTTTCTGTCTCCGGCCCTCGAGAAGATCGGAGTTTGGCACGTGCGGCAGGGCCTCTGCACCAAAACCCTAAACCCTTCCCCTCCGTCGCGCGGTCCTTCTCCCGCCGTCACCTCCATCGCCTCCTCCCCTTCCTCCTTGGTAATCATCGTCAAATATAGATTGTACATGCGTGAATTTACGAGTTCCTTAAATATTTTTGATGATTGCAGATAGCTGGTGGTTATAGTGATGGTAGCATAAGGATTTGGGATTATGATAGGGGAACGTGTGAGACTACCTTGAATGGACACAAGGGAGCTGTGACTGCTCTTCGTTACAACAAGGCTGGTTCCTTACTCGCTTCTGGTAGCAAGGATAATGATGTTATTTTATGGGATGTGGTTGGCGAGACCGGGCTCTTTCGCCTTCGTGGTCATCGCGATCAGGTTTGTTTGTATGTTTGTTGTTAGAACTTGCGGTTGAAGTTGAACTCAAATGCTGGCAGTCATTAGTTCTGTATTTGATTTGTATAATTTTGTTGTTTAAGTCCTTCTGAGTACTTTTATATGTGCTTTTTCATTCATTTGCGGCAGGTGACTGATGTTGTCTTTGTGAGTTCCGGGAAAAAACTTGTTAGTTCCTCCAAAGACAAGTTCTTGAGAGTGTGGGATCTTGATACCCAACACTGTATGCAAATTGTTGGTGGCCATCATAGTGAAATATGGTCTATAGACATTGATCCTGATGAAAGATATCTGGTCACTGGTTCTGCTGACAATGAACTTCGTTTTTATGGGATCAAGCATGAGTCTGTGGATGGGCAGTCTGTAAATGGTAGTGGAGATTCTTCCGTTCAAAGCAAATGGGAAGTTTTGAGGCATTTTGGTGAAATTCAGCGGCAAAGCAAGGATAGAGTTGCAACAGTGCAGTTCAACAAGCCAGGGAATCTATTAGCATGCCAAGCTGCGGGAAAGACGGTAGAAATATACCGTGTATTGGATGACGCTGAAGCAAAGCGTAAAGCAAAACGAAGGGTTCACCGCAAGAAAGAGAAGAAACATGGCAAGGAGGCTTTGGAGGCAACTGAAAATGGAGACGGGAACAATGAGAACAAAGGCGATAATTCTTCTGTGACTAATGGACCCATAGAAACAAGCAACCTCGCCGTTACTGTGCCTGATGTTTTTAAGCTGCTGCATACTATTAGAGCTAGCAAAAAGATATGCTCCATTTCTTTCTGTCCAATCACTCCAAAGAATTCAATGGCTAGTTTAGCGCTGTCCTTGAACAATAATCTACTTGAGTTTTACTCTGTTGAAAGTGGTGAAGTGACAAAAACACTTGCTATTGATCTTCAAGGCCACCGTTCTGATGTTAGAAGTGTCACACTTAGTTCGGACAACACTCTTCTGATGTCAACCAGTCACAATGCAGTAAAGATCTGGAACCCAAGCACGGGTTCTTGCCTAAGGACCATTGATTCTGGGTATGGACTGTGCAGTTTAATTCTTCCCACTAACAAGTATGGACTTGTTGGAACTAAAGATGGAACCATAGAAATTATTGACATTGGAAGTGGCACTTGTCTTGAAGTGGTAGAAGCTCATGGTGGTTCTGTACGTACAATTGCTGCTCTACCAGATAAAAATGGTTTTGTCACTGGAAGTGCAGATCATGATGTTAAGTTTTGGGAGTACGAAATTAAGCAAAAACCTGGTCAAGTGTGTCCTTCATATCATTCACTTTTTTTATTTATTTAAGTTGTTTGTTATAAGGAAATACTTCAATCAATCAATCTAACATTTTCTGGTCTTATACTGCACATAAAATATAGGTAAAAGTCTACAAGCCCCCCCTAATGATGCAGTATTTTACTGGGAAACTCTTCTGGTCTTTCTGTTATATATTTAATTCCTATAATGGATATATAAACAGTATACACAAATTATTTGCTGTTTGCATGTACATATATATAGGTAGGAAGAATACTTATAACAATGGCAGTGAACCCTGTTAGAATATTAGATATGATATGATTAGATTTGATTAGATATGATTGGATTCTGTCTTATCCGTAAATAGTCTGACTGTATTCTGACTGTATTAGGATTAGGTTTGGATTAGGTTTGGGCCTTACACTTAAGCCCATTAGGGTCTCTATATATTGTAACTCCCTGACACAGATCAATACACAACGTATTCTTTTACATTTAACTTGCTACCAGAGCTATTTCGTTCTGGGAACCCTCGCTTCCGCTTAGAAATCTTGTTCTTCGCTTTAAAACCTAAGCCCACTGCTTAGGAGTTATCTTTTCTTTGCCGTGCGTCCTTCCGGTAAGATATCAAAGGCTGTAAGTCCTCTCCAGGCATCTTCTGCACGTGTCCACAGTCATCAGCCACCGTCAGCCACTGTTCAGGCTGTCGGAGTACTTTTCCGGCGAGTTTTCAGTCTGGAACGAACGCGAACAGAACCCTCTCCTCCCGGCGACCTGCTCTGTGGAAGTCCGGCCACCATCGGAGTTGTCACGCGCTCTCACGCGCCTCCAGTCTTCTCTGCGCGTGGGCTTCACGCGCCACCTTCTGCCGACGCGTGAGCACTATTTCGGCAGCTTTTTCCGGCCGGTCTTGGACAGAGAAGCTCGTCTTCTCCTCCTCTTTCTGGATCTGTGGTTGGTTCTTTGTGGGTCCGACTTTTTGTGCGCACCTCTTCTTGATTGGTGATCAGGTTCGTTTCTCTTTATTCGGTTTGTATCTTTGTGATTTGATATGGCAGCAAACCCTCCAATTCATTCGGAGGTCAAGTCTTCATCTCCTCCTTTGAGAAATTCTCCCAATATCATCTCTACCAATATTGGGTCCATTACCTCTTCAAAATTGAAGGGATCTGTTAATTACAAGAACTGGGCCACCTCTGTTCGAGTTTGGTTCTTTGGACAAGGATATGGGAACCATCTCACAACTAAGTCTACTGATGTCCCTAAGGAGGACAAGTCTGATTGGGAAAAGATTGACAACCAACTTCTGAGTATCCTCTGGCAATCCATTGATCCGATTGTCTTGGATATCTTTTATTCATTTCAAACTTGCACTGAAGTGTGGGAGGAAGCAAAAAACCTCTACACTAATGATGTTCAGCAGCTCTATTTCATCATCTCTCAGTTTATGGAATTGAGCAAATCATCCGACATTCAGATGGAGACATATATTGGCAAGAGTCGCTCTTCGATGCAGGCATATTTGGATATGCTGCCTTACCCTACTGATGCTACTGCATATCGGAAACAGGTGGAACGTCTCTTTATGGTTGCCACACTTTCTGGCCTTCCCGAAGAATATGATAATGTTCGTGATACTATCTTGACTAGTGGGGAGCCTGATCTATCCATGACGTATCAACGTCTTCTGAATTTGAATAAGAAATCTGCTCCTGCATCGTCTTCTGCTGTTGATTCTACTGCTCTAGTTTCCCGTACTGATTTTCGCGGGCATATTGGAGGTGGACGTGGTCGTGGTAGAGGCCCAGGAGGCCCAGGAGGACGTAGCCCAGGAGGTCGTGGCCCAGGAGGCCCAGGAGGTCCAGTCGGACGTGGTCAGCGACCTCGTTGTCATTATTGTCAGCAACTTGGTCATTATGAGGAACGCTGCTACACCAAGTATCCTCACATGCGACCTTCTTTTGCTGCTAATGTAGCTCAATCGGATACTGCTTCAAATGGTTCAGTCTCTCTCTCCTCTGAAGAATATGCAGCATTCCAGGCCCTTCTCAGGAAGTCCTCTCCTCAATCTCAGGCCTCTGCTTCAGAAACTGGTAATCCTGTTGCTTGTGTTTCTCATTCTGCATCACTTGGTCCTTGGATATTTGACTCAGGTGCTACTGATCACCTCTGTGGTAATAAGGAACTCTTTTCTTCCCTTACATATTCTAATAATTTACCCTCTTTTACTCTTGCTGATGGAACTAAGGCCCCCGTTCATGGGATTGGACAAATCTGTCCAACCTCCTCATTGACCTTGACATCTGTCTATTACATTCCTCACATCCCTTATAATTTAATATCGGTTAGTAAATTGATCAATTCTCTTAATTGTATTGTCACATTCTCAAACCATTCTGTTTCTGTGCAGGACCCGGGTACGGGGAAGATGATTGGAGTGGGCCGTGAGTCACGGGGTCTGTTCTACCTTGATGTGCCGAGTCCTTCAGTTGCTTGTTCTCTCACAGAATCTCCACAGCTCATCCACAGTCGTCTCGGGCATCCTAGTCTTGCGAAATTGCAGAAGATGGTTCCTCTTTTATCCGGTCTTCAAACTTTAGATTGTCAGTCATGTCAGCAAGGAAAGCACATACGCTCCTCCTTTGCTAATCGAGTCAATAAACGAGCTGATGCTCCTTTTTCAATTATTCATTCAGATGTTTGGGGTCCTAGTCGTAGTGTGTCTATTTTAGGTTTTCGGTATTTTGTCACCTTTATTGATGATTTCTCCCGTTGTACTTGGATTTATTTAATGAAAAACCGTTCTGAGTTGTTTTCTATTTATCAAAAGTTTTCTGCTGAAATTCATACTCAATTTGGTGCTTCTATTCGTATTTTACGTAGTGATAATGCTAAGGAGTATGTTTCTGTTGACTTTTCTCACTTCTTAGCCACACAGGGTACTTTACACCAAACCACTTGTCCTCACACTCCACAACAAAATGGAGTAGCTGAACGTAAGAATAGACATCTCATTGAGATTGCCAGGACTCTTCTTATTCACATGCATGTTCCTCTTCACTTCTGGGCTGATGCAGTCCTTGCTTCTTGCTTTCTCATCAACCGCATGCCTTCATCTGTGCTTAATAATGATATTCCTCATAACTTATTGTTTCCAGATGTTCCTCTCTTTCCTCTATCCCCACATGTTTTTGGTTGTACCTGTTTTGTTCATGATCTCACTCCTGGTAAGGATAAGTTAACATCCAAAGCCTTTAAATGCATTTTTCTTGGTTATTCTCGTCTTCAAAAGGGTTATCGCTGTTACTCTCCTGACCTCAAGCGTTACTTAGTTTCCGCGGATGTCACCTTTTTTGATCAACAACCCTTTAATTCTATCCCATCTCCATTGTCACAGGTTGATCATGTTCTTCCTGTTCCTTTTCTTGACTTGTCTTTGCCAGATGCAGGTGCTTCTACTCCAGATAAGCCATCACCTATTGCTCCAGTACCTAAGGACCGTCCACTTCTCACTTATCAGCGTCGTAAGACAGTACCTCCAGTCGACTCGACCCCTGCTGACTCATTGCCCTCTGCAGTTGATTCTTCCCCTCCGGATCCTTCACCAGAGGCTCTTCCCATTGCTCAAAGAAAAGGTACACGTACTACTCGTAACCCTTATCCTCTTTATACCTTCTTGAGCTATGATCGCCTTTCTGCTCCTCATTTCACCTTTGTTTCTAGTCTTTCTTCTGTTTCTATTCCTAAGACCACAGGTGAAGCACTTTCCCATCCAGGATGGCGCCAAGCGATGCTTGATGAGATGACCGCACTTCATACCAATGGCACTTGGGACCTTGTTTCTGCTCCTCCAGAGAAGTCTATAGTTGGTTGTCGCTGGGTGTTTACTGTGAAAGTTGGACCTGATGGCCATGTTGATCGTCTCAAGGCACGCCTAGTTGCCAAGGGTTTTACTCAAATCTTTGGCCTTGATTATAGCGATACATTCTCTCCAGTCGCTAAGATGGCGTCCGTCCGCCTATTTCTTGCCCTTGCTGCTGTTCGTCACTGGCCACTCCTTCAACTTGACATCAAAAATGCCTTTCTTCATGGTGATTTACAAGAAGAAGTTTACATGGAGCAACCACCTGGTTTTGTTGCTCAGGGGGAGTCTGGGAAGGTATGTCGTCTTCGAAAATCCTTATATGGTCTCAAGCAGTCTCCTCGAGCATGGTTCAGTCGCTTCAGTTCTGTTGTACAGGCGTTTGGCCTAATTCGCAGTAAAGTTGACCATTCTGTATTCTATAGGATTACATCTCCTAACAAGTGCATCTATTTGTTAGTCTATGTTGATGACATCATCCTCACCGGAAGTGATCAAGACGGAATCCATCAGTTAAAACAACATTTATTCAGTGCATTTCAAACAAAGGACCTTGGGAAGCTGCGTTACTTCTTGGGAATTGAGGTGGCGCAATCTAGACAGGGCATTTCTATCTGTCAAAGGAAGTATGCCTTGGATATCCTAGAGGAGACTGGTATGTTGGGGTGTAAACCAGTTGATACACCAATGGATCCTAATGTTAAGTTATTGCCCAGACAGGGGGAGCCGTTATCTGATCCTGGACGTTATCGAAGGCTGATTGGGAAGCTCAATTATCTTACTGTGACTAGGCCAGATATTTCTTTCGCTGTCAGTACGGCCAGTCAGTTCCTTGATTCCCCTTGTGATTCACATTGGGATGCTGCTGTGAGGATCCTCCGATACATCAAAGGAGCACCAGGAAAAGGTTTGTTGTATTCGGATCAGGGAAATACAGAAATTTGTGGTTACTCAGATGCCGATTGGGCAGGATCACCCTCGGACAGACGCTCTACTTCTGGTTATTGTGTCTTCTTCGGAGGAAACTTAATCTCATGGAAAAGCAAGAAACAACCTGTTGTTTCCCGATCTAGTGCAGAAGCTGAGTATCGTGCAATGGCAAATACTACCTGTGAGTTGATCTGGTTAAAGCAGTTGATTCAGGAGCTTCATCTTTGTGAACAGAAACAACCCATGACACTCATCTGTGATAATCAAGCTGCGCTACATATATCCTCTAATCCTGTTTTTCATGAGAGGACCAAACATATAGAGATTGATTGTCACTTCATTCGGGAAAAGATTCAGTCAGGAGAAATCAAGACAGCTTTTGTCAACTCGTCTAATCAACTAGCAGATGTTTTCACTAAAGCTCTTAGAGGTCCTCGGGTTGAATACATTTGTAACAAGCTTGGTGCTCATAATATATACGCACCAGCTTGAGGGGGAGTGTTAGAATATTAGATATGATATGATTAGATTTGATTAGATATGATTGGATTCTGTCTTATCCGTAAATAGCTCTGTAATAAATTTCTTGTTCTTTATTGTTGACAAAAGGAAATGCCACCTAAGAAAGGTGTCAGAACATTTTATATTTTTGGTTTCTACTGGCATTTTTTTGTTTTCCCCAATTCTTTTTTGTTTTTCTAAATTTATGTGCATCTGTTCCTCTCCCCTTTTTGCAACCCTCTCCTGCTTTATTTATATATCCTCTAAGTAGTTTCAATTTAATACATGTCAAATCAGCTCAGACAAATGATTGCATTAATAGCCAATTTGTTTATTTAGTAACACTTTATTTGTTCTGTTTCAGGCTACTAAGCAACTTGTGGTGTCAAATGTCAGCACAATGAAAATGAATGATGATGTTCTTGTGATTGCAATTAGCCCTGATGCTAAATATATTGCTGTTGCTCTGTTGGATAGTACTGTGAAGGTGAGATGCCTTGTCCTGTTTGGCTATATATATATATATGTATATATATATATATAAAAGTGGCTTAGTCTGGATTTTTTTTGGGACTGTAATAAGTGATACACGGTCAATTGATAGCTTGAATAATTACATTTCTCCTTATGCTGCTTATTATAGGAAATGCCAAATTCTATGTATGATGGAAATCTATATGTGCCTTATTGATTGTTGAGTATTATGAGCAATGTGCTTTTTGTGGCTCTTAAATTTATGCATTACCTTTATTTAGTTATTTCAAGGTTTTTTGTTATGTTCATTCATTTTTCAGGTTCACTTTGTAGATACATTCAAATTCTTCCTTTCGTTATATGGGCATAAGTTGCCTGTTCTGTGTATGGATATCTCTTCAGATGGAGATTTAATTGTGACCGGCTCTGCAGATAAAAATTTGAAGATTTGGGGTTTGGATTTTGGTGACTGTCATAAATCCATTTTTGCGCATGCTGACAGGTGCTACATTATCTGTCTGACATGATAAATATTTTTCTTTCTTTTTCTCTTTTTTTCATTGGGAAGTATGGATGAAGCTGTACTTAAAGTATCTGATACAATTTACATGGCAGTGTAATGGCAGTACAATTTGTTCCCAGGACACATTATGTGTTCAGTGTTGGAAAAGATCGCCTAGTAAAATATTGGGATGCTGATAAGTTTGAGCTGCTGCTGACTCTGGAAGGACATCATGCAGATGTTTGGTGTCTTGCAATCAGTAATCGTGGTGATTTTATTGTCACTGGATCTCATGACCGTTCCATTCGCCGTTGGGATCGTACTGAAGAGCAGTTTTTCATTGAGGTATGCACAACTCATATGAGATGGGTCTACAGTTTTTTAATGTTGGAAAAAGGGACAATGCTTCTCAATACAAATTTATAATAGGAATACTTACAATAGGATGTTATTCTTCCTAGATTAAATCATTAAATTTGATTCAGTGGAATAACATAGACCTTTTCATTTGCAGGAAGAAAAGGAGAAAAGGTTGGAGGAAATGTTTGAGGCTGATCTTGACAATGCATTTGAAAACAAGTATACACCAAAGGAAGAAATACCAGAGGAGGGAGCTGTGGCTTTAGCTGGGAAAAAAACCCAGGAAACCCTTACTGCAACGGACTTAATTATTGAGAGATTAGACATTGCAGAAGCTGAAAAAAAGCGTATTGCTGAACATCAGGTTTACACTTGTTGCCTCTTAGAGGACTATTTTGGTCTAAACTGGTGCTTCTTCCCATAAGTGAATGTGCAGGATATGCATACATAGCTGGATGCATATATATAATAGATGGATACCCTTGCATAACACATGGATTTTGATATCAGTATACTATCCTGGATTTTTACATCAGCTACTCCTTTTGTGCTTGAAAGGTCAAGGTTTGAATCCGGAAAATAGCCGCACACAAGGATTGCCCGTAACCCACCCTTGCTAGTCGGAATTTAATATGGAGTGGGTTTTTATACTATCCTGGACAGTGTTCATACTAGTCATCTGTCACAGCCCCTGTATAATAGATAATTAGCCTGACTTAAGAGGATGCATTAGTGATTTTTCACTTTGCGAACTATGGATATCAAAATAAAGTTTGGTTGAACTTTACTGAGTTTACCTGCTGAAACTGTTTTAGTGTAGGATGCACCCACTGTCTTCCATGAACTGCTAACAAATTATTCCAGTAAGGAATGTGAGGCCTGTCTACTTGCAACAAGTTATTTGTGTAATCCTATTAACTACTACCAGACAACAATCTCCACCTTTGATTTCCAAAAATAATTATGAAATTAGATTTAGAAGTACAAGCAAACAACTTTAGCTGTGAAATATGTACACAAAAACATCAACAATGAAACATTATACCACTAGGTAGGCTCAGTTACATGGATCAAATAATGCCCTTGGGTTCTATCGAAAACCAAAATTTCAATATTTCCATTTATTATGCATGAGTACAGAAAGTATCTTCAATTCATTTTGAGTGTGTTATATAACAAAAAGAGCCGAGGAAGATCGTGTTTTATCTTATTTGATAATTTCTTAATGTTGGTACTTCAAATTATTTGACTTTGCATTTCAGGAGGATAAAAATAACAGAAATATTGCTGCTTTCCAAGCAAATCCGCTTATGAATGGGCTTTCACTTTCTGATTATGTTCTAAGTGCATTTTCAGATGTTCATTCAAATGATTTGGAGCAAACATTATTGGTATGTTTGGGACTTGCATTTTCATTCCATCGTATTCTCTTACAGAAATATAAGGCACTTCAGACTACAGTCTTTAGGCCCATTACATTTTTCATTGTTGTTTATAACTTATAAGCTACTCGTTTCTACGTAGTTGCACTAAATGAGCACCAACCTATCACCATTTCTAGTTTTTAACGTTTTGTTTATTATCCCTACTAGTTTTTAGTTCCTTTTTATCTTTGTATACAATCCTTTATGATGAAAGTTAATTAAATTTTGGTCTTTCTGTGGTTATTACTTATTAGACCTAATTAAATATCCTTATCGACTCTATTTAGTTTAATTTATCTTTTTTGGAGCACAAGAATAATACCTTTACATCTCTTATCTGGCTTATTGCATGTTCAGAGACACTAGGTTCAAATATCATGATTGTCTTCACGTAATTAAAATTATTAACAGTACACTTACACTTGTAACTAGTAATATATTTCAATTCATGTTTTTTTGTAAATAATATAAAATCATAAAAGGCACAAAATTGTAATTCTTCTCAGTTTTGTTTGATGCTTTTACCATTTTTTGGGGAAGTTAAACACAAAAACACTATTTAACATTGATTATAAAACTCACTGCAATATTAGAAGTTAGGATTTCTATCAAAAGAATATTTGTTTATAGTATTATGGGAGATATAATTTACTGAATAATTATACGGTTTTACAAAAAGAGCAGCAGTGCACCTAGTGTTAGTGGAATGGCCATAGGTGTAAGGAGTTTGTCTTTCTTTTAATACTCTTCCCCAAAATATAAATTCCGAGAATATAAAAAAATTAGGCTCTTTTAATACTAGAAAATGTTAGCTATACTTGACTTGATTGTAATTTTGTTTTTCTATACATTGTTAACATCAAGTCTAACATGTAGTGTACCATTTCTTAATGCAGGCTTTACCATTTTCAGATGCTTTGAAGCTTCTGTCATACTTGAAAGAATGGACTTCGTATTCTGATAAGGTTACTCCGTCAGCCTTGTCTTGTAAAAACTCCACTGTTCTTTAAAATATTGTTGTTTGTCTCTTTTCTTCTTTTTGCTCTTGGTCTGAAGAAATTTATCCTCTTTCTCTTTATTATCCTTCATTCTTTCTAATAACATTTCTTCTTTCATAAAAATAATTGTATGTATGTATTTGTTTATGTACCAAAGAAGTTGTATTTGTTAATCTCTTTTATGCTTCTTTTCCTCATTATTTCTCTTCTTTTTCACATGTATCTGCATGTTCTTCCTTTCCTATGTAGTGGATTAGACAAATAAGATCTCTTTATATCAGCCATAATAATAATCAAAATAACAATCACAGATGTATAAAAATTTACTTTCAGCCTTAAATATTAATTTTTGCAAGTTATGAGCATTTATGCTTTGCCTGGAGTAGTGGTGAAGTTGTTCCTTTGTGACCAAAAGGTTACAGGTTCAAATTCGGAAACAGTATTTTTGCAAATATGCAATAGTAAGACTGCGTATAAAGATTGTGTCCATCCCCCCACCCTTTCTAGTTGAGATTTAATGAGTGATTTACGAGCATTTCTGTTTTCTTGATATCTTCCAATTGCAGGTTGAGCTTGTTTGCAGGATTGGTACATTGCTGTTGCAGACACATTACAATCAGCTGCTCTCCACTCCAGCTGCCAGACCTATCTTAACTGTTTTCAGTGACATTTTTTATGAACGGGTGAAGGTAACTGTGCTAGGGTTTTTTTGTGTATTTCTAAATAAAATTTAAGCTTCGTTATATTTGGTATTGATTATTAAACCTTAATTATTATATATGGGTTCATTCTAATGTATAGAGCTACCTAAATAGCCTGCCTAAAAGAACCACTAATCTATGGTAACAAAATATTTTATAATAATTATATTAGTCTTACAGAGAATATTATGTTGTGAAGGATGCTGGACTGAAATGTAGGATAAAATTGGAACAAATAAACCTTGTGTGAAGATGGAACACAAGCTAAAATTAAATGACAAAAAGTACTTTTACCTTAAAAAAAATTTCTGACATAAAGTACTCTTTTGATGATTTTTTAATTATCCCTGATTCTCATGTTTGAGATGCATGAAATGCTTAATAATGTAGACGTTTGATTGCCAGTAGGCATCTAACTTTGAGAGTATTCAAACAGCATGCTGTCATTCCAAATTAGGCATGTTAACGCAGTTCCGTAAGAATAAGATATCTGGTGATTATGGGTGACAATCCTAATATAAATAATTTTTTTTTATTATGAATTTGAACCTGTAAGTCCTCGGATAATAATATTTTAGATTTAATTTATTATATCGCTATCATCTAGCTGCTACTTCTGTACAATCAATGATTTTTCACAGTAAAGCAGAAGTCCTACTCAAAAGGATTTCTAAATTAAATATTTCTGTTATTCTACTATTTTCGGTACAAATAACTGATGAACTTGAGTGTGTCATTGACAACTTGGTGTCTGAACTTTGTGTCAGGGATGGAAAGATATCCTTGGTTTTAATCTTGCAGCCATGGATCATATTCAGGTTTGTATAAAACAATCTGCCTATCTCTTACCCTTGATAGAAATGCTGATTCAATTTTGAATTGATCTTTTCAGCAAATGATGGCTTCAAGATCAGATGCACTTTTTCGTGATGCAAGAGCAAAACTCCTAGAGATACGTGCTCAACAATCAAAACGTTTACAAGAAAGGTCGGATATTGGAGAAGTGAAGCGGAAGAAGAAGAAGAAAACATAGTGTCGTGTATGTTTAGACATGGTTATGCGCTGGATTATGTTAATGATCTGGGTATTTCAATCACTGCGGAGAAATTGACCTCGACTGGAATTATATGTGATCGATGAAGCATTGCAGATTCAGATCAAAGTAGTCATATACGTTTTAACGATAAGAAAAATGATGAGTAGAGGTTGGGTTGCCAGAAAAAGGATTATGACCTTGTCAATGTGATTCCTTTTACCAGAAGATTGCTGTTTCAATCTGCGACCCATCTTCGTGTCAAAAGTTGACATCTTCGTTTGAAGAGCAAGGTTTTCACAGTATACTATTACTGATGTGGTTGGCTCAGAAAAGGGCGTTACTTTATATGGTCACTATATGTGTAAACATTAGTAATTTTACATAAATTTAATACGACTTTCTTCTCAGAATTTGGTTACCCTCTGTTGTGAGTAAAATTTTCCTTTGCTTTTAGTTCCCTTTGCTAGTTATGTAATCCGATGCTCATGTTTCAAGTTTCCATCTTCTAATTTTTTTTTTCCCCCTGATGAATGAAATTTGTTAAATTATATACTAGCTTGGCTGACTGAAATGAAGAATGTGTATAGGAAGTGCTCATTGAATGACTAATGAGACCACTATCAGATTTTGTTCTACCAAAAATGTTTCAGGATAATTGTTTTTGTCCTTTTGAGAATGAATATTCTCCAAGACATCAGTCCAATTTCGTTTCGTTTTTTTTCTCTTTAATTTAAAGCTGAGGATCTTCTGTATCTGCCATATCTATATTTTATATTTGTATAGTAAATTAGCTTCAAAAGTGATTAGTATTACTATTAATTATCCGAGATAGGTTATATTATTTATCTTTTTTGTATGCCTATCAATTTCTAATACTGTTAAATCAGAATTGTAATAAGAGAGAGAAATGGTAAATATTAATTGAAATTATGAGCTAAGTTGAAGATTGATAGAGAATAATATATCCCTAATTATCTATATGTAACATCACATGATTAATTTCTTTGAGAAATAATTAATATACTCCTACGTATCAGTTTTATGAGTTAATAATTATTTTGTTACAAAAAATTAAATGACCATTTAAAAAAAAATATTTTACTCAATTTATATAACTAGATATTGTTACAAATAAACAAAATAAATAGACTTATGTAATTCTTAAATTTTAAGAATAAATTTAAATTGTTTTTTGGTGAAAAAATACGTTTGCTATTATATTTTATACGAGGAAGGTTATACTTACAATCTTTTTTTTTACAACATCTTACAACCATATCTTATCACCGTTAATAGTAAAAATGTTTCATTTTTTCCATTTTATAGGAAAAACACTGTTGGTTCCTTCTCTCTAGAAGATTTGATGTGGGGCCTATTGACATTGTTTTCTCTCTCTTTATATTTGTTTTTCTCCCAAATTTTCTCTTTGTAGGAATCAATAATGTTTTTCCTGTAAAATGAGAAAAATAAAACCTGTAGTAAAAACATGGTTGAATTAATTTATTTTATATTTTCAAAAACGAATTTTCAGTCCACAGTTTAATTCAAAATATCCGGGACTGATTTAATTATATTTTGTTAGAATTCAAAAATAAAATAAAATTTAACATACTTATGTTGAAAGAAATTATTTTTGTTTGAGAATAATAATTCAAAATCTAATTTAAAAGAATTAAATTTATTAATATATTATGAAGTATAATCATTTTTTAAAGAAAATAATATGTATGTTTTTAAAAATTTTACAAATAAGAATTGATACAGCTGGTCAAGCCTGTCACCCATACTAGTTACTGCTTTGGTAGATGATCTATAATTCTTTTTTGGGAATAAGATGATATATAATTCTAAAATTGATGGTTTTCACTGATCTTACATGGGATCTCAATATTTTTTTTATAAATCTTAAATCAAGAAATAATTTTATTTATTGAAATGCAAAAATTTAATCTAAAACTTATTTTTCAAACGATAGTTTTATATAGCTTAACACTTTTTTTGGTGAAAGTGGTGAAAACTAAACAAAGACTTTGGTTTAAAGGATTTTTTAAAGCAAAAAAAAAAAAAAGTTGACCCAAGTTATAATTATTTAAATTTTAAATATTGTTTCTTTATTATATTCTCTAAGAATATAATTGTGTTTATCATAAAATAAAAATATGTTTTTAATTAATTTTATTTATACTTAAAAATGTTTATTATAAGCTTTTTTCTTAGTGGAACAAATTGGTGTTTAAGTTAGAAATCTTATGTATTAGGCTAATATGAGAGGGCGCATTCATAAGTTTGATTATACTGAATTTATTATTTAGTGTGATTGACAGAAAATTTGAAATAGTGAAAAGTAAAACAAGCTATCAAAATATATAAATATTTTTCCATTAAATTAGAAACTTATATATATGACATTAAAAATAATTTAATATGCAAGAAATAGAAAGCGAATAGTTTCCTTTAATTAAGTTCTTATGATAAAATAAAAGGAAAAACTCCTATTTGCATTTATTACATTAATTGATAGATATTATTAAAATGATCGAGCAGCATTATGACAAGAAGATTGATTCAAATTAAAAAATAACACTCGACAATCACCTCGTGGATCAACGAATAAAGGGATAATTTCCAAAAAAAAAAAAAGAACGAACAAAGGGATTGTGGGTTGTTCGAATTTATCGAGAGAAAAAATATTTGTACTTTTAAAAGATATAACCTTGTGTCATTTTAGATTATAATCATTGATTTCTGTCAATAATGGTTATAATTTATTGGGTCATACTTATTAATTAATTAGTAATTCACAATAAATTATAATTATTGATTGATGGAAATCAATGATTAGGATTTAAGATGGCTCAAAGTTATATCTAAAAGTTATATCCTTTAAAAGGATAAACGTTTCCCCCCAAATTTTTCTATTCATGTGATCTCGAATTATCACTACATTTTTATGTTTTTACCATTTTTTTAGAGGAATTACAACCAATTTTCGTTTACAATTTCTTATAATCATATCTTAATCGTTGATTTCCGTCAATCAACAATTATCATTTATTGCGAATTAGTAATTAATTAATGAGTTTGATTTGCGAAAATAGTAAATCATGTGATCTCGAATTATGAATACATTCTTATATTTTTACAATTTTTTTTTAAAGAATTCACAACCTATTTTCGTTTACAACCTCTTACAATTATATCTTAATCATTGATTTCTGTCAATCAACGATTATTATTTATTGTGAATTAATAATTAATTAATGAATTTGATTTGCGAAAATAGTAACCGTTGATTGACAAAAATCAACGGTTAAGATATTATAAACGAAATAATTTGTAAATATAACCTTATCTTTTTTCTTTTCTTTTTACATTTTGATCAATATTTTTAACGCTTTTACGTTTTATGTTTTTTTGACTTTATGATTTTATGTTTTACGATTTATTATTTCCTTTCCTTTTTAGGTAAAATCTCAATTATAACTATGTTGCTCTTACAACAGACTTGGATTAAACTACTTGAATCAAACTAATCGAATAATGGATGAACCGAGGGATAAAATAAAAAACAATAACACTTAGAGAAATAAAATAAAAATAATTTTATTTGAAGGGATATCATACGAGACAAGTGATGATTTATATTATTATCAACATAATGCCTAGAGACAAATCGAAAAACACCAAATGTAGGTGTTGCAGAGAAGCATTTATGGGAAGTTTTTGCCTTCATAGGTCTGACCAAACTGCCAATACTTAGGGGCGACACGCCTTGAGACACTGGACCTTCCATCACTTGCTGTCACCCTGAAGCTCAATCTCTCTCCCACTAACCTAACATCTGTATCCCAATTCTGACCCCAATTTCGCCTCAAATCTGTCCATTTGAACTTGCCATCATCCTTCATCACTTGCACTCTTACTATTTCCCCAGCTCCTCCAACATTCCACACTTTTATTAGATTGAAATAAGGATTCCCATTCATGGTGAACCTAATACCTCCCTCCCTCTTGCATGGTACCCTGCATATACATATATATTGTAACAAAAAAACATTATTAATTTCAAATATATACCATGCAAATTAATTTCAATATATATATATATATATGAAAATGGAAAATGTTATATTTATAAACTTTTACAAACTACATTATGTCTGACCGGTCATACTTTAATTAAAATCAAAAGTGTATGACAGGTCATACTTAATATAGTTTGTAAAAAAAAATTTGTAAACGAATCATTCTCCTATGAAAATAGATCATGTATATGTAACCTGCGATAACCACATCTTGATACCCACAAGCTCCTCCTGCAATCAAGTTATTCTTTTTCTTCGTAAGTAAAAGACACATGTATGCATAAAAAAAAAATTAACGTTTCTCGAATTACATAAAATAATCATTCAACCCTAAAACAACGCTATTTTAGGACTTAAATATTGAATAATTTTATAAAATTCATGATATAAAAGAAAAGTACAATTTCTGAAATACACTAATTACTCTTTATCCAAATCCCAAAACGACGT